ATATATATATTATATATATATATATATTATATATATAAAATATATATATATTATATATTATATATATAAATTGCTTGTCTTGTTCTCTGTTTAGAAGAGTTCAAGCTTCTATTGTAGATCTGAACTGGGACCTGAAGTTGATGTGACTTGGGTTTCCTAGGGTGCAGAGCAGACAGCCATGATCCATAATGAATCAAGCTTGCTACCCTCTGGGCACAGGTGTTTCTGATGGGTTTAAAGTTGACTCTGTCTCTGACTGTCTCATGCTTGAAAAGCAGATGGTGATAGAGCACTGGCATGTCTAGCACAAAAGCTGAGTCATTGAACAGTGCTATTAGAATATCCTTGAATATAAGGAACAGTGAGGGGTGAGCGGGGGCAGTTGTTAGGCAGAACAAATCAAGGATGACAAAGTCTGAAGTGGACCATAACAATGCATGTTTTCCCCAGGCAGCTGATTTAATGAGTCAGACCTGTGTCATACTGCTTTTAGCTGAAGCTGTGAAGATTTACAAAGCTTTAGTCACATGTAGGACTTTTTGGTGACTAAAATTGAGCTAATCCTTTAAGCCAACCATTCAGTCTTTTACCTCACACTCCTTTGCCTCTCAGCACCCCCTGCCAATTATAGATGGCCTGGTTTTCAAATGTGCTAGGTGTTGTCAGGCTTCCAGAAATTCTTGGTGTTGCCTTTTTTGTGCCTTAATGAAGTCAGGGCTGTGAAGAGATGGTGCCTAGTAAATGTGGATTGATTTTTCACAGTTCTGCCTTTTAAAATACTTATCTGCATGGTTAATGAAAAGAAATACCTCCTCCTCCACCCTTAGAGTCTGGAGAACTACTGTAGAGTTGTTAAAGTTAAAAGTTACTGTGCCTGACTATGTGTACATAGATACTATAGGTTATGGGATAGAGCGTTGTATGAGATGTTGGCCAGAGGACTTAGTCTGCATTCCAACTGTGTTGTGTTTCTTGTAGATTTCATATCAGCTTTTAACAGTTACAAGTCTGTACTAAATTATATGGCTTTTAGAGAATACAACTAAAGCTAAAATGCTGATGTCAAGTTCAGAGCTTTAGCTGATAGGCTACAGTCTTTGGTACTTGTATACAAAACTAATACTTCAAGGCCTTTTGTTTGTAATGGCCATTCAGTAACATGGCTATTTGCAGTAAAAATGGGCTGTATCCTACAGAGCTGTGCGTGGGATTGGTTTTCATGTGCTGGTTTGGAGACTATGGCTTACCAAACAAATAACTTCCTTCCATCCTGCAGTTTTTGATTGTATAGTGTTCATTAATGTCTAAAAATTATTTTGAGATCCTAGGGTAAGCAAAACCATGCTGTATCATCCCGTGGTGTGCTGCTGGACTGTGTTGTCAGTGTACTGTGTCGTGTCTGCTGTTCTACTCCTAGCTCTAGGAGCAGGTGAAGAAACAGTTCCGAAGGCAAACACAGGAGTTGGTACTACTCCTACCAAAGGGAAAACATGAAAGACTGGGTTCAAAATAATTGTTTGGTTGCATAGTCTTGTTATAACTGTTTTCTTTAGGATACTGTTGCTCAGTTGGAGTGACATTCTGAGATATTATCAGGAGCTGCATTAGGGCTGTTTGGATGAAGGCTTTTAAGATAAATAGGCTTACCTTTGTTTGACCTTTATTTTAAAATTGTTCATATTAATACTACCTTGAGTCAGTCTTCATTCTTTCTAAACACTAAATATTACAGCTGTACTTACAAGATCAGAATGAAATTGAACTTTATATGTCTATCCAGATTGAGTAAAGACTGTCTTTTGCCTCAAGGAAACCGGAGCTGCAGCAGGGGACCTCAGTTGTCCTTGCTTCATTTGTACAAAGAAAAAAATGCCTGGAGGATGCGGAGTGGTTCAGCTGTCAATCAGGTTTCTGAGCCACAGGTGGTAGAGGCAGGGTTGTACGTGTGTTTCCTGGCTGCAGTCTGGGAGGTCTCATAGAGCTTCGGCTTCAGGTCATGCTTGTGGGAGCACTGCTGGCTCAGGCACCAGAGTCTCGTGATAAGGTGCCAAGGAGCTCCTGTCCTGTGAGCTGCTCCTGTTTATTGCCTGGCCAAGTCTCTGGAGAGAGTAAAACTGTACCAACTCAGCCTCTTCTCGGGGCCACAGAGATGTGCTCACTTGGCTGGCTTAGGCTCGCAGGCCGTCACTGGAGGATTTCAAGTCATGAGACTTCTCCCTGGGCCATACTACTTGGCATGGAATAGTGCTTCTGCGAAAGGGAGCTGTGCAACTTGGACAAATAATTCCTGATGAAGGCATTGTGAATACTGTGTTGCTTTACTTGGTTTTCCCATCTAAATGTGCAACTTTCTTTTTTAATACTGAACTCGGACTTCAAAAATAGAAGGTTTAATTAAGATTTACCTTTCTGTATTCTGGCATCTAAATAAGCATTGGGATTTTCCAGGGGGCTGAGCAACATGCAGGGTTATGATTGACCCTTGAAAACATGTTTTAGTTAAAACTCTTTGAAATTCATACCATGGGTTTATTCACCTGAGGAGGAAGATACATATGTATAATATATATAACCCCATCCTCCCAGGCTGTCTGAATTACCAACTCATTGATTTCACTGTTACCCTTGTGTTAATTCGTGTTTCTCAGAGCTTCATCTGGGAGAGCAAGCTAGACTTAAAGAACAGTGGAGAAAACTTGAAAAGATAATTCAAGCATGTTTAAAACTAGAGAGCAAGAAGTGTATTGCTTATTTAAAAACTGATTATGAAAATATCTCACTGGGGGTATGGCTCTCTTAAAAACTGGCAAAGTTTTCAAACCTCAAAGTGCTGCTTTCAATATTTCTTTCAAAAGGAATCACCTTTGAAGATGACTAAAGCAGAGATTGTCATGATGGCTGGGTTACTTGCATCTCTTCTGTTTTCTGGCCCTAACCCAAAGTTTACTTTCTTGCCTGTGCTTGTGCTTGGGGTTGGACCAGTTATTATTTTTATTCCAGGTGACAGAAGAAAACTGATTTCTTTGTAAGATCAAGTGAGTGTTGGATAATTG